CTCTGAACTGTCATCTACACTACTCCATTAAACTCAGTAGGAATCTTCTGACCTGCGCTTGTGATGCGGGAATCAACAAACATATTAACAAGCCCTAAGTGGCGAAATCCTTCTAACAAAGCCCCACAATAGCAGTAAAAACCCAACAGGAGTTCTAACCCTTCCCCACTTTATCCAAAACTAAAAATGAAAGTTGGGGTTAGACTTTCGCTTTAACACCACTCTATAATTTTGAATTTTTTAAGGTCAGATTCCTTAATTTCAGCAAATAATTATTTTGTTAGGAAAAAAACTCTAAATTCACCATAAAAAACACTCCACTACTTTTAAACTAGACAAATAATTGGATGTCACACGAAACCTACATTGCATGTTCTAGATGTAATTTTGCTTTTTTTCATTTTCAGCATTGTGAAAATCATTACTCATAGCACATTGTGCATTTTTATGCTCGATTAATCCATCACATCTTTAAGCTTCCATAGTCCACATGCTTGAAATTAATTGTTGATCAATGCTTTGCATGCCTCACAGACAAATAAAGAAATCTGCTGACCCATGACCATATATTGACTTACTATTTGTTAACTATGAAAATTATGAAATGTTCTTTTTCCACATGTATTGTTCTCATTTAATTTTACCCAGTTGTTTTTGATGGCAAATTTGATGGCAAATTTGATGGCTATATAACTTGAAACAAATTAAGTAGCAGAGTCTCGTTGGATTGTATGGGAACAGCAAATTGAATTCAATTTGTGGGAATTGTGGGAGAATCCAAATGCACCAAAGCAAGGTTAGTTATCTGAAGATGCTATTACCTAAACTATACCCCCCTTCCCCTTCCCCATGTGGCAATGGGGAGGAAGTGGAGTTTATCTGTAGCCATTCAGAGTGCTAAGTCTGTGTTTCACTCTTCAGGGAAATGGTTGGCCAAGCTCAGAATGGAAGAGCCAGCTTTGGGTTTGTCCCAAAAGCTTCTCAGTGACACAAGGCACCATCAGTGCAGAAGAGACAACTTATAGCAGAGGAGGAGAGAAGACAGGAGGAGGGGTGACAAACATCTCAATGGCCGAGCAGAGCCATTAGACTAACCTACATCTATAACCACGCTTCTGAAGAAGATGCGAGTATGGGGTTGCTCCCTCCAGTAAGCAATCAAGTCTATTCAAGTGCAGCAGAAAAAAGCAGCAATTGGATTTGGATTTAAAAAAAGACAACAACTGGGCTACAAGATGAGACAGGAGGGTATAGAATTGAGGGGGTGCACGAGGGATGCCAAGTATCACATTGAGCCCTCTGCAAATATAGTGAAATGTCATAGAAGGTGGGTGCCCATCTGATGTCCCGATGATGAACCTATCCTTCCCCAGTTTCAACACACCAGTCCCAACATTGAGAGTGCCAACTTGCCATAGGGATTGAACCATCAAGTCTTATTAGTTCTAATACAAAGATGTATACAAACTGAGACCGGCTTTGTATTAAAATATTAAAAACAGATCTTAACTCGATTTCTTTTCCTGCCTAATATGGATGAGTGCCAGGGAATTTTTGTACTATGTGCCAAAGAACCGCTAATAACATTTAAAACAACGTTTTATGTAATAAAAGTACAGGTATGAAATAGTAAAAATGTGGCATCCACAGTCTATTACACGGCTGAGGGAGTTTAAAACTGACAATTGTAGTTCTCGTCTATGGTATAACCGGAGAGGAATTTACTGCCACAAAATACACCTCTCCTCGAAGCTCCATCTCCATCTGTGCACTTACAAATGCACGTGGTTTTAGCACAGTTCATTAGATATGTTTGTACTTGCATTTTTGCACAATTCAGTTAAAACTAGAAATGAAACCTTGAGATGCACAGACTTTCTGCTATGTACTGCAGTTTTTCATCCAGGCACCACTGTAGTGCACCAGTCCACACCACTTCCTTCTGAGAACCAAGACAGTTATTCCCAAACAAACCCACTGTAGACTTCTTACTACATACAGAAAGCTACCGAAAAGACTTTCACATCCATTAATCGGATACAAACCTGCCCTTTAAGTTTAATGACTGGTTCACACCTTTGTGGTTTAAGTGGCCTGGGTTGTATGTGTGCTGCATTTTACATGCATTTTAAGTGTGTTTTACACATGTTACCAGTAAATTCTCTGTAAGCCATGTTTTGATGAAACTGATCAAAGAAGCTACAAGGTGGAATTTGTTTTACAGCACCACTCTCAAAATGCACTGTATGAATAGGCCCTTAATGTTATTGTTGGAAAAGGAAGCAGAGAGTGCGAAAGTCCAAATGTGTGTGGACACCCCACCAAGTTGGGTACGGGCCTTCCCTGTTCCAGCATAACTGTACACAAAGTCAGGTTCCATGAAGACATGGTCTGACAAGTTTGTTGTGAAGGATCTCAAGTGGCCTGCACAGAGCCCTGACCTCAACCTCACTGAACACCTTTGGGATGAATTACAAGTCAGATCTTCTCATCCAATATCAGTACCTAACCTCACAAATGATCTTTTGGCTGAATGGGCATACATTTCTGCACACACTCCAAAATCCTATGGAAAGCCTACCAAGAAGATTGGAGGCTACTATAACCACAAACGTTGAGCCAACACAATATTAATGTCCATGGCTTTGGAATGGGATGTCCAACAAGTTCATACGGTTGTGCTGGTCAGGTGTCCACAAACTTTTGGCCTTATAGTGTACCATGGTCAGTGTTACGTTTTCTGGCATCAGTTGCTTTTAATAATTTACTGTTTTCATTTGGCAATTCATTGATATCACAATTGGTTCACAATTGATTCCTAGAGAAATCTACATATGATATGGTACCATTATCTAAGTGTACATTTGCTGCACATGTGATACAATACAAAGGTGGATTAAAGTCTAAAATCTTAATTTGCACATGTCACGATTTGTCCCTGCACCCAATGACTTACGCTTACACCTAAGGCCGTGCCTCAGGTGGCACACAGGGAGGCACTGTGGGTCGGCTGTATATTCTACCAACAACCTCCATTTTCATAGTCACATCAGCACTTACCTGTTATAGCAGTTGTGTAGGAGGTCTAACTATGAGTGCACACTCCAATAGTTATCAGGACTTGACAGCGCTGCTCTATGCACCCCATGATCTAATAGACCTGGTCAGACATGCCCTTTTTCTTCCTCAACATAGAGTCTGAGGACAATTGAGGGCTGTAGCTGTTATTCAGAAGCTGATCAGCAATTTCTTTCATGACAGGGATCTTCAATAATATCTTTGCATACTCTTTATGTTCCATATTCAGTGTTGTTTGTTAAGGCATGATTAATACAGTATATGTTTCAATAGATAAACCCTACCACTGGGTTTATAAAAAAAAAATCATCTTAATACCACTGTATGGTCAGAATGCAGAAGGATTATAATTTTCTATTTAGGAAACAGGCTTACTTAAAGTTAAACAGCCCCCAGGGTTCACACCAGCCTACGCATGCTATCAGAAAGAAATGCTGTAATCGTCTGACTACCAGTCTGGGCCAGCTTTTATGGGCTCTTCAGACTCTGCCATTGTCCTAGCCTTACCCTAATTCTGTACTGTGATGTGTTTATTGAAAAACATTTTGTGAATACCTAGTTGTACATTTATGAAGTGGTGATCAATTTTCTGCTTTTCTGCCATCCAGAGATTTTTCTGTATTTACAGTATAAAGTATGTTTACTCGTTTATTGCCGTTCATGCAATATCTGGATCTCTTGGTCTTTAATGGGAATTCCATTGCTTTGTAAAATGTGCCTTATTTATATACTACATGGCCAAACATTTGTGGAGCCCTGACCATCCTTCACACCTACCTATATGGCCAAATGTGTGTGGACACCCCACCAAGTTGGGTACGGGCCTTCCCTGTTCCAGCATAACTGTACACAAAGTCAGGTTCCATGAAGACATGGTCTGACAAGTTTGTTGTGAAGGATCTCAAGTGGCCTGCACAGAGCCCTGACCTCAACCTCACTGAACACCTTTGGGATGAATTACAAGTCAGATCTTCTCATCCAATATCAGTACCTAACCTCACAAATGATCTTTTGGCTGAATGGGCATACATTTCTGCACACACTCCAAAATCCTATGGAAAGCCTACCAAGAAGATTGGAGGCTACTATAACCACAAACGTTGAGCCAACACAATATTAATGTCCATGGCTTTGGAATGGGATGTCCAACAAGTTCATACGGTTGTGCTGGTCAGGTGTCCACAAACTTTTGGCCTTATAGTGTACCATGGTCAGTGTTACGTTTTCTGGCATCAGTTGCTTTTAATAATTTACTGTTTTCATTTGGCAATTCATTGATATCACAATTGGTTCACAATTGATTCCTAGAGAAATCTACATATGATATGGTACCATTATCTAAGTGTACATTTGCTGCACATGTGATACAATACAAAGGTGGATTAAAGTCTAAAATCTTAATTTGCACATGTCACGATTTGTCCCTGCACCCAATGACTTACGCTTACACTTAAGGCCGTGCCTCAGGTGGCACACAGGGAGGCACTGTGGGGGCGCATGTCACCATTTCCCCTGCACCCAGTACATGACATTTTGTCTGTTTTTCTGGTGGAGGGAGAGGGGACAGCAAAATGGCCACCTCAGGCAGCAATTAACCTAGGCATGTTTGTGGTTATACCCTCTGTGGAAAATGCTGAAGAACAGCCTTTCATTGCACTTTATTCTAACCATTTTAATGTACATGCCCCCTAATGTTATTCCTGGCCTAGTCATATCAGCATATGGCCAGTTATAGCCACTTATTACACAGAATCTTTTCTCTAATTTGTATAATACAATGGTATAATCCATTACAGGAGCTAAATGCAGTAAGCCTTGTGTTTCTCTGTTGCATTGTGTTAGCTCTATATATAGAAGACTATTGAGAAATAAAAGATGCTATTTTCTTGTTTCCAAATTAAAATGGTCTCTCTTAATCTCAGGACTGCAAATGGAAAATGTACATTGAGTTAGATGGAGATGAAATTGCTATAACGTACATAAAGGACGTGACATTCAGCAGAAGTCAGGCAGAATCTGAGGTGCTGAGAATGACTAAAGTAAGTGATGTTAAAAGCCAGCACATTATCCCCACTGAGCATATAACGCATTTTCTGTAATCCCATTTTCTATTCTTTTTTTAACACAATATACTTAGCGTATTGTACAGGGTAACAATATGTTTAAATTCTAATTATGTTCATCTCGTCCAAAAAAAAAAGGCAGGAAACTGTCATAACTAAAAAGACTCAAGCCTATGGGGTTGATTTACTAACCTTATAAACACACCACGAACATGTATACACCTCTGTAGTGTGTTCCCTCCCAGCATGATCTATGGGTGGAATCTAAACACCTTTGTAGTGTGTACACACCCAGCAGGTGTGTTGTGCAAAGCCCTGCATGGATTTGCAAGGTGATGTTGGGTAAATTAGCTCTATGTTGTGTTGCTTGCGTTGATGAATGCAGGAATGTAAATGCATGAGCTAACCATTTTTGTCTAAACTGTGAAGCAGCATTATATATGCATCATGTGCATGATTTTTCCATATATGACATTAGTGGAAATATGCTTTTAGAGACTTTTTGGTTGATTAAATACGTTTTGCTGTGTGAAAATCACACGCACCTGGTGCGTGCGTGTGTTTAGGTTAGTAAATCACCCCCTATGTGTCTCACACCTTAGTTCGTCTGCATAGCTTTGTCTGTGCCTTGTAGGCTGCATTACAGTCTTCAAATTGAAATGGTATACATATTTAAGGGGGAAATCTATTTCCAATGAGCACATATTGGAAGTCATTACATCGATGCTTGACCGTAAAAGAATTTTAATGTAACTGCCATTTTAACATTCTTGTTGTACCATATTTAATTATTATTTAAATTCTTCTGTGACATATAGTAATGATAGCTGACTAGCTTTCACTGTCTATGCGGGTAGATAGTCTCTTTTTTTTTTGTATAGACAGGGCAGTTTGATTTGCATTTGTAGGATAAAATCAGCATAGGCAGCTTCTCGCAGAAAACAAATATAACAAAAATAATTATGACCCATGTGGCACTTATACTACATGTAAAGCTGAAACTCTGGTCAGCCATTAAATTCAAGTATTTTGTGCCATGTCCCCCCAGATAGGTTAAATGCTCATTCAGTCTAAGGGGGTGGAGAGTAGAGGAATACTTACCTTATTCCTCACTTATATTTTATGGCTGCCCAGAGTCCAGCATTAAATCACTCTCTCTGTCAAGCTTTTTTCACTTACAAGGCTGCCAGCTCGCTGTCTCTTTCTCTATCTCTCTCTGTCACTCCCTCCAGGTCTCTTCCTCAAGTATTGGGAGTCCCTTTGTGCAGGCAGTTACTTACTCTGTAAAGAATAACCACAGCAGTGGCCTAATGAGGGCTTAGTTCCAGCCTCTATGGAGTTCACAAGACACTTTCCTAGCTGAGCTGGCTTTCCCAGTACTTCCACAATATTTTGATTTGGCTATTCTTGGCCTGCTAGATTAACAATTGCCAAGATAATGTCTCAGTAGTAGGGGTGATGCTTTCACTCAGTCTTCCGACCTGGTAAACTTGCATTGCGAAAAAGGAATAATGAGGGATATTAATCTCTTGCTCCTGAGAAGTTTAACAATTATTAATGGTCAACTCATTAGCAGCACATTGACTGCAGTGTGCTTCAAATGATGTGACGACCAACAGGTGGCCAAATCTCTCGGCAGCTACAAGTTAAAATGAAAAAATAAGTACTAGTCTAAAGGTCCCCTTACGACCATGGCAAGACCTTTGTCTTGCGATGGTCCTAAACTCATTGAAAGCTCGTACGATCTGCCCATCTTGGACGGGCAGATCGTACTTGCGATCATCGAAAGCCCGCCCCGCTGAGGGGCAGGCTTCCGATGACCGCAGTGAGGGGCGGGCTTCCGATCACTGCGAACGGGCAGTGTGCGCGTGCGCACACCGGCCCGTTCGGCAGTTGTCAAACAAGCAGGCCACTAACCTGCCGAGAATCGTACGACTCTCGGCGGGTTTTCAAGCCTGCTTGTTCGACAGAAGACGTGCGACCGTACAGTAGAAACGGTCGCACGCCTTCCATACACTGTACGATTCTCGTACGATCGCGGGATTTCCCGCGATTCTCGTACGAGAATCATACAGTGTATGGGCACCTTTAGGCACAACCACTGTGCTCATCAACTACACAGAAAGGAGAGACTGTATATGTATTGAGCAAATTTGGCTGCACCCACATACAGATAAAATTACAAACTAAATACAGAAATTAGGTTTTTAAAATATTAAGACACACCAATATGGTTATGTGCACTCAGCTGGTATATCTAAACTTTAAAAAGTGTATAGTGTGACTTAGATAGATCATTTGATTTTTTTTTGTAGGTTTCTGTTTGTACTGATTACAATGTTTTTCTTTCTTTTGATCTATTATGTTATTGCCTACTCTGTTTTTTCCCCACAGCCGCCATTTGTAATGGAGAAATGGATTTTTGGGATAGCTGAAGACGAGTCGGTGCAGTGCACTGTGACCTATGAGGTAAGTTACAGTATATACACATAGAAGCTGAAGGACTAATAGAATAAAGTGTCAATGTTATTCACAAATGACTGTCTTGTCTTCCAAAGACAAGTGAGACCAGTCAGTGAGATTCTTATACTACGTAGGATGTATATCACTGAGCTGAAGTTAGAAGGTCCATTCAGTTTAGTGAAATTTGAGTTCTATCTAACCCACTGAATCCAAAGGTATCAGTTATTCACTTGTGAAGTGAGTGGGCCTATTTCCTAAAGCTTATGCTGTGTAACGTCATTGATACAATAACTTAATTGATATGACAACTTCATTGTAATGATTACCAAGGTCTTTCCATCCTATTTATCATACAATAACCTATAGTTATATGTTATCTAATGTCAGTATTATGCAGGACTTTGTTTAGTATTCATGTAATTCCCAACTCTAAAGTTCAGGAAAGCCTATGCTGCCTCCATCTAACAGGTGAAGTTTGCCTTTCTTGAAGAACTCATCCAACACAGTTAGTACCTTTTGCATCATCTGCTCTTGCAAGCAGGGCCCTCCTATCCCTCTCGTCTTGAATTGTATTGTAATTAGGGATGCCAGAAATGTCGAAATATTTTGTCTGAAAATTGTACTGTGGGCAAAATGCCGATATTACCCCGCTCAGGAGGCAGGGCGGTGTGGGAGTAGACAGCTGTAAGGATGCCAAGAAGGATGGTGCAGGGAGGAGACAGTTCCTCCCACACCACCCCGTTCGGCCTCCTATGACAGGCAGAGGAGTTAGGATGGAGAGCTGGTTGCAAGCACTCAGCACTGATCACTGAGTGTTTGTAAATAACTAAGGACATTGTATGCTTACTGTGTCCCCAGTAATGAATGAACAGGAAGTGCTCTACATCACTTCCTGTTCATTCCTAATTGTGAACATAGTAGCTCATACTATTTCCGCAGTTTATCAATGAACAGGGGCAGTATAGAACCTTCCTGTTCATTCATAACAGGCTGCAGAAAAATAGATTTAGGACTGTGTCCTCAATCTCTTTTTCTATTTTAAAAGGGAAATATCAGGGGGTTTGTTTAGACCCCTGATGTTTCACCCGAAGCCCCTAACAGTAAAGTAAAAGAAATAATAAAAATGTAAAAAATGTTTTAATGGTTGGAAAAAAAAGTTATTTTTTGTTTCGGCCTGACATTTTTATTTTCGGTCTAAAAATGTCATTCTGGTGCATCCTTAATTGTAACTGTTGTCTCCTATATTTTGTAAAGCGCTGCGGAAACTCCTGGTGCTATATATGTGTTGTATAATAATAATTAGGTTACACTTTTTGTTACAACCCATTGTAAGTATATGCAAACCAGAATATGCTATTAAAGACAGCATGCTGTATATTATTAATGCAGCACTTGAGTGTAGCAATGGCTAGGCTCAAGCGCTTGCTGAAAGTTTGAAATTTGCACAGGAACTTTTTCTCTTATTTGTTTTTCTACCTTTCTGTTTTCTCCTCTTTTCTTTTTCCATATCTATCTTCCGTCTTTTGTATCTTCTCTTCCTCTGTTCCAAATATATTTGAATCCTTTTTATTATCTTACTTTTGTAAAAAAAAAAAAAATAATAAAAACTGATTTGATGAAATATGCACAGAAATTTTAGGGTGCTCCAGCAGTAGGTCAAAGTGGCATAGGAGGCGGGGAACTTGAGTACAGCCCATCTATTGTACCCTGTATAAAGTAAACCTGTTACTTTGCCTGATATGTGCGTCATACGGGTTCCCTTTAAAACTTGAATTTCAAAATGTTGAGTTTGCCAAGAGGTGGCATCAGTGTAAATCCATTTTTGTTCTGCTGTTATGGCATACAATAAAGATCCTTCCAGACATTTAGGAGACAATGTGGAAAACTGTAACTGGCAGCATAGTAATCAGTAATGGGGAGACTGCAGCCAGCTGGCCTGGCACCCCCTAATAAAGATCGTGTTGTCAGTATCTTTGTATCTATTTTCTTCTCTGTTGTGTTTTGGTTAATTTATATGCAAAGCGTTTATAGAGCTGTTTGTATTTTTTTACTTGGCCAACAGAGTGATGTCAGAACTCCTAAATTTACCAAACACATTCATAAAATTCACTGGAACAAGATGAAAAAGCAAGATGCAGTGAAGTCAGTCCAACTAACAATAAAGCTACCACTGCTGAACTCGGAGAGCAAGCCCAGCAATGATTCTAGTAAGAGTCTCCAATTACACCACATTACTGTATTAAATGCATTGCTGTTTAATTAAACCAGTTATGTAGTAAATGTTCAAATTTCCAGTCTGAGATGAAGGTAATAAACCAGAACCATTTATAGTGTATGTGACGGTTACAGACTGGTGCCTATTTCCAGAGCCAACTATTGTTTATACATTGCTCAGTGTGGTCCATTTTCTCCAGGCTTCATCCAGCACACGTAAGCTTAGGACTTGACCGTGACATTGCAAATGTCCTTAATATTATAGATGGTGACTACCAAAAGTAATATTTCTGTTCTGGATAAATCGTGGTGAATCACTCGCCAGTTTCTTATACATCTCTGGACGTCTGAGATTCTTCCATCTGAGGTATCCTTATGAGGGGTCTCCCCTCCCTGCTGGAGTTTTCATTCATGTTACAATATAGAGATTGTAGCTGTAGGATTTAGACTCTCACAGTCTTGAACAAAAGGACTAAAACTCTGTGGCAGGAGATGATGGAGATATTCCAGCACTGAAATCTCTCACTGGAAGAGGTAAGAAGTGTAGAAGTAATTTAGCTCGGAAGTGTCCTTCCATAACTGAAATATCAGTTTTGAATAGAGTGATCTCTTAAAACCCAACTGAACGTTCATTTTAAATAAGCTTAATACATTCCAGATGCATCACATCAAAGAGTATGCAAAGTCTTACAGTTCACTACCTTTAAAAAGCAGCCATAGCCTGTCCCATGCCAGCAGCTGCAAAATGAGACCCTTGCTCTCTGCAGAAGTCCAACACATCCCCTGCTGATTCAGATCTATAGCTCTGCAACCAGCAAAGCCTAAGCTCCCTGCTGATTGGAGAGCTGTAACTCTGGCTTGTCAGGGGTTTGCTGGACCTCTGCAGAGAGATCACTGCTTCAACACAAAGAGCAAAGCAACGGCTCTCCTCTACACCATGCTGGCAGGGAACAGACTTTTCTAATCAGACTTTGACTGTAGGAACCTTTTGCTTAGATGCACCTAGATGTATTTAGCTTGTGTAAACTGATAGTTCAAATGAGCTTTAAGTCATTTTAGAAATAAAGTAGGAACCTTTTCTGCCATCAGTATGAAGGCAAAAACGTCCATATGGTGTCCACATTACTGCTTTTAGGCCATTAATCAGGAGGTTATCTCTTATTATGTCTGCTTTATTATTAGAGATAAATAGGACGCTGGAAGACAATGTCTCACTAAAGAACTAGTCATGCCACGCTTGGCTGGCATCATTTCATTATAACAATGTCTGCTCTGCTGTTTCCCAGTTATGTCCTCAAGGGCCTCTAACACTGGTCATAGATGGGCTAGTAAAAGCAAGGTATGTGACCAATTTTAACATACTTTGCAAGAGGCAAATTAGTGCTTTATAATAGGAAGAAACATTCGTTTTCCCCAAAATCCTGGAAAATCTGTTTGCAGTTAAAGTCAATTGTTCCCTTTTCTTTTAAAGCTACACTCCTGCAAAAGCTAAATACACAGATGAAATGCCTATACTGTATTTAACTACCAAAGAAGTTGGGTTTATGTCCATAATACAACTAGGTCTGTCCTAAGCCTGTGATTAGACAGTGAAGGAGAAGAATCAGACAGATGAGCTCATTTTTCTGTGACTCTGCCCTTTGCTCATTTCAGCATGTACTTTGTTAGCACATGAGCACTACAGTTCAACCAACTGGCTCATTGTGCTGCTTCTTCCTCTCCCGGTCTGCAGCACAGGGAATTGCAAGAATGTGATACCACGTCAAATTCAGTTACTTCCACTGGTTGCTTTTAAAAATAAGCTCAATGGTTTTTATTGAACACATAATGTACCTGGGTGAATTTGTGCGTTTTTTTAAATCTGCCTGGAGTTCAGCTTTAAGGAAAGGGAACAACGTTTTCATCACATGTGCAACATCCAACTATTACCTAAAGATGACTATGGCTGCTCCCTATGATACATTGTGCAACAATTCATGAATTTCAAAATGAAAGACGGTGGACAATACAAACAAAATAAAATGATCACCCTTGCACTTCTGTCTCCAAATTCCTGAAGCTCTAGCTTTCTAGCAGCGTTTTGAAGTTAAAGTGACATTAAAGTCACAAATATTTTCCTTCCTCCCCCCCAATGCTGCTTTAAGAATTTACCCAAAATGATCCGATCATCTTTTTCCTTTCACTTGTATTCAGCAGTCTCTCCAGCACTGGTATCGGTCTCTGATCCACCGCAGACTCCTTTCCCTTTTCCTGTCCCGCGGTGTCTGTCCGACGTGCACATTCCCCGCTGCGTGCATTCGGCTCCACTGTGTCTTTCCTCTACTCCCCGCCAAAGATCTGTACTGCGCATGCGCTTGCCCTGTCATCGTGCTCGGCCGCTCGAGAATCTTCAGATATTCGGACGGGAGTGAGCGGCGTGGACAGAGGTAAGTAATAGCCTTTTTGGTAACTTTTTTATTTTTTTAAATGTTTTTGCATATATTTACTGCTTTCTAGCAGTAGCTATATGCAAAAAACCCCAAAGGTTTAATTGTACTTTAAACATATGAGAATAAGCACAGGACGTTCAAGTTGCCACCAAGTGGCACTGTTGCTCCCTGAGAGCTAAAACAATGCACTCCAAACTTTTAAAGCGTATGATTTATTTTGTGAGTTTAAACTTGCTTGTGTTAAGTATAAGTGACATCCTGGGTGCAGTCTATTGGAATTCATTAGGAATAAATGAGTTCTTTTATTCTGAATACCTATTCCCAGGAAAATAAATAAAGGCATTCTTGTTTATGTTAATGTACTTTTAAAAAAGCATAACTGAAATTAAAAGAGAAGTAAAGACAAACCTTTTTTGGGGCTTTTCTTCTCTTTTGTGCCACAGGAGTACATTTACTTATGTACTTCTAAGACCCAAAGTCAGCGGACTATAGCGGACTATTGATTGAAATATGCTGACAGTGCAGAGCCTCACTGCAGCCGCCAAGGATCCCTACAATATTGTCGGAATCCACCCGGCTGCCTGATTGACAGTAGCTCTGCCTCTCAAGAACCAGCAATGACCAGCATAGTAGTGACCAGGGAAATCTCTAGACAACTCGTTGCCTGAGGACGTGCTGCATGTTCTGAGTGGGTGGGGGGGTAAGTGTACTGCGGTTTCAGGAGGAATTCAAAACAAAAGCCACAATTTTCAGGGTACTGCTGAGACACAGATAACATTTCTAGATGTTCCCTATACCATAGCAAATCTTTACTTTTGAGTTCAGGTCCACTTTAAAGTAAAGCCCAAAAGGGTCTGCTTCCCTAATCTCTAGTAGAAAGTGCAGTGCCCTGAGTTTAATCTAGTACTTTCAGAGGGTGTTGTTAGGCTGCCCATAGATAATTCAGATTGCTAGTGCAGTGCTCTTTACATTTCCTACCATTTCCTGCTGTCGGGGTGGTCAGATGATGTCTGTACACCTGACAACCCTCCAGGCAAGAAATGTAAAGAGCACTGCACTTGCAATCCTTGAGGCCCCATATATAAGAGACCCTGGCCCGATTTGGTTGAAAAAAAAAGCCATATTGGACAAAGGCCATCTCGTGTCTGTAGGTAGCTTTACAATTGCCAATCGGGGAATGTGCCCCTGGTGCACATGGGAACAAGAGGGAGGCACAGCAGTGAAATATGCAGCTACCATTGTGTAAACGGGTAGTACATGTATCTTTTAAAGAAGTGAGTTGAGATGTGAAAAACTGCCAGATCACAGGAGTTACTTGGGCATATTAGAGCTTCAATGATGGTCCATGACTAAATAAAGTTTGGAAAAGTGTGCCTTCAATTTTTATATTATCTAAATGGGGGACTCGGCATCCCTGGCATAATATTTGCAGCTGTAGTTTTGTGCAGGAGCCTCTTCATTCAGTTACTATAATTCCCCAGAACTGTTTTACTAGTGTCACCAGTTGATCTATAGACAGACCTATAACACTACTATTGCATATCTAGAACAATTTTTCTTTTATTAAAAAAAAGAGATTAACGTTCATAAATATGTAGCTATTCCCTTCTCTTGATAGAATTTTTGGCATTTCATGCACAGTTATTATGAAGGGCTAATATAAAAGATATGCTATTGATATTAGCCATTATAAGCCATTTCAGTAGAGCCTGTTTATATTATCCTGTGATGAATTTATGCGGCAGGAAGTTTGTCTTTAAATTCAAATGTGATCTTACGCTAACAGTGATATTAAAAAAAAATATTTTCCACAGGTGTTGTTGACAGTAATTGGCTCTACATGTTAAGAATGCGTCAGATGGCGATGGACAGGTCTCCTCAGCATCCAAGTGGCTTACCTCGTTCGCAGTCATCTAGCCTTACTAATCTGTCACAAATTTTACCATACCTTCAGGACCAGGAATCCTATGCTGCTGCTGTCAGAAGAACACGTGTGATTTCAACGTTACAAGTTACTCCTATTACCTACTCACGCAGTTCATCGCCAACCCAATTTGGGATGACTATAAATTTGTCCTCCTTGTCTCTGCATAGTTCTAAAGGCAGCAGTGCTTCCAGCACAGCTTCAGATAGTCCCTCCGAGAGAGAGAGGGCTCGCAAAAGGTCAAACAGAAACTATTATCACCAAAATGCTCAAAGCTCAACCATACAAAGAAGTGGAGGAAGGAGTCCTCAAGCAAGCAATGGGAAATATTACAAGTCCTCCACAGTAGCACAAAGTCACCCAAGGACCCATGATTACAGGCCTCATAGAAATGGCCTAAGTCAGAGTAGACACATACCAGGAATGCCAGTGCCAACCACAGAGGTTAATGGAGAAGAAAGCAAGGTTAATGATGGAGGGTGGACAAAAGTAGAATATGCCAAAAAAAATCATAAGCAACCTTTACCAATCAAGTCGAAAAAAGATAAACCCAAAGCATCTACACGTAGTCGTCAATAGCATCAGTTTACACTCTAATTTATTTTAAAAGATGCTAATATTTTATCTAATTTAATTGGATTTTTTAAACATCAAGAACACCATAACAATTTATATATATTTATATTTTTGCATACACGTTATGAAATGTTCTTTTATAAATTGCAGTTTGCAAATAAAATAATATCTCCTCTCATACTTGATGGTCTTGGTATTCTTTTCTTTATGTACTTTACAGGGTTAAACACGTCAACATTAATATAACATGCCATGCCTCTAATGTCACCCTACAATTCCTGTTGCTGATGAGGCATCATCAGTGACAGGATCCCTTTGCAAGGCCAAAGAGGGAAATAAAATACGTACCTACTTCCATATGTCCTTCCCTCACATGGGCAAGACATTGTTCCCTCTCTTGCGACTTCCATCAGTGAGGGTGGGAAACCATGCTCATCCAGATGGTGAGTGTGTGACATGGGTCTTACAGTGAACAGACTGTAATAAACATTGTAATTCTAGATTATTATCTATTCTTCATATCAAGTTATTAAGCTTGAATTGCACTAATTAGTAACAGAATAAACAGAAACAAAATTAACAGTAGCTGCTCTGATCAGCTCAGTGATATTTTACAGGGTATGTAAACTCTAGTAATTAACTTCTCCTATTTTCTCCCTTTTGGCCTGTTTGTTCTACTATTGGCAGCAATTTATTATATCTGTTTGATAAGCACTAAAAAAAACCCCTGTTGTTCTTGTCAGAAATTCAGAGATGTCCTGTGTCCTCTCCACACTCCCGGTGTTATCTTAAAGAGCACTCTTGGTTCTTCAGCTACAGAATAATTAGCCTTTATGTTGTGGACATCTGAGAGTAGGAGTGGTTGAGTAGTTTAGCAAAAGACACCGGAAGGGCTGTCAACACAAAGTACACAAAACTGCTTGTATTGTCAGCCCACAACAGGAATAAACAGCTGAGTGCCCTTTTGATAGATCAAAAGGAATAAACACAGGGAAATTTACATGTATGGCAGATATGTACTGCACACCTTTTTTCTTCTTGCCTTGACATATGCTTCTGGACTGCCTCCCAAATTTGGAAAACCGAGAGGAAGATGTTGAGTTATAAATTTAGCATGTAACATTTAGCCAGCTTATTGTACTGATGGATAGGGGCTTTATAATGAGAGAAATGCTATCATGAACATTGAAGCTCAGTGGCCTTCAGTGTGAAATGTCTTAAGGTCAAGTACTACTGAGGGATGGATGACCCGCACGACCTGAGCATTATATAAATCTCTCATCTGTTATCAGTTAAGTAAATGTATTTATATTCGGTTAATTGCATGTGTATTATTCAGAGGTACTATATTGATAGGTTTAAATCACATATATCATCAATTTCCTTGGGGTCATTGCAAATTATTTTTTTTAAATGAACATGGCCAGGCAACTGGAGATCTCGCCAAGATCCGATCATTGAATTAAGAGTCATAAAACCAAGCACAATTACTGAAGTTACCAAGATGCCAACAAAATGTAATAATACAAGAGTTGACAAGGAGCAGCACATTTAAACTGACCTGGTTATTAGGAATAAGAACAGTATATCATAATAGAACTAGAATAGGAATAGAATAAAAACAACAATAATTATACAAAAGTACACCATTCCAATACAATTCCTTTATTCAGTGCAGCACTTTACCTTCTTATTAACCCTTTTATACACGTTAAAAAATATTTCTGAAACAAGGAAATAGTATCTTTTAATGCACAACAATAAAAATAGAATAAATCAATTCAAATGTATTTTTGTACATTGATTGATACTATTTCCTAATTTCACAAAGAATTATTACAGTATATGCTATATTTTATTTTTTTGTGTAAAATTATATATACCGGCATACCGAGGTAGTGTGGGCCCGGCTAATCAGGAAGATCACGACCCGCTGCCCAGCTTTCTGATTGCATGGGAAGCCGGTATTCTATCACAAGCACACTGGCTTCACGCTCCCTCGCGACACTGTGAGGCAGCCTGGCTTCTTGACCAATCAGGAAGCTGTGCAGCGGGTCATGACCTGCCGCCAGACTTCCTGATTGGTCACAAAGCCAGGCTGCCTTGCAGTGTCATTAGGCAGCATGAAGCCGGCTTCCTAGCCAATCAGAAAATCCGGGAGGGGGTCATGACGTGCCTTCTGGCTTCCTGGTTGGCTAGGAAGCTGGCTTCACACTGTATAGCGACACTGTGTGCGGCAGCCTGGCTTCCTGACCAATCACGAAGCCGGGAGGTGGCTTATGACGTGCTGCCCAGCTTCCTGATTGGTCAGGAAACCAGGCTGCCTGGCAGCGTGAAGCCGGCTTCCTAGCCATTCAGGAACCCGGGAAGCCGGCTCCATGTTCCCTTGCATCACTGGTGGTCAGAGGGAATCTCCCTCTGACCGGAAGTTCGGTATTGGGGTAAGTATCGGAGCATCATATATATTTTTTCCCGTTCATTGATAATATTTTATTTCTTCATTAATATATTATAGTATTTAATAGGGTTAGTAAAAGGGTAGAGCGCTGCACTATATGACGTCATTATGTTGGATGAGGTATAATATTGGAGTGTCAGCAGCTTAGTGTGAGGTGGGTCAGTATTACAATTTTTAGGGGGATCGGAAGCACAGAAGGTTTATATAATATTGTTAAACAGTACAGTTATCTTTTTGATGAACATCAACATCTCCCCTTAACATCATATGGACTTGGGCTGCTTTGTTTTTGCTTGTTATTTTGTTTTTTTACTATACAGTGCTAAAAACTGCCAGGCCTTAGTGCTGTCACATGTGGGCACCTGTGGGTATGATGTTCAGAAGGGGAGAGGGGAAGGGGAAGCATAAGAGATCAGTTTTGAGCTTGGAGTATGTTTTGGTCAGACAGACATTAGTCCCGTTAGGGCTACAGTTATCTTTTAATTAGGCCAAAGTAACAGGTTGGCTTGATAGTCCAGCCATCTAATACTGATACATACCTTGTCAGTGCTACCCTGCTGTGCTGTTCCCTTGCCTTAACCCTGAGAAAAGCCCTCTGTGTGCTCCAAGTTAGTCTTGGCCAAACACAAAAAAGGCTAAGGAACCACTCGGTGCCCACATGTGACAGCAGTAAGGCCTGGCAATTTTTAGTACTGTATAGTTAAAAAAAAAAATAGATAATAGATTAGATTAATAGCAAGAGTGGGGAACAGAGCATATCACTAACAAAGCATCAGGAGAAGCGGCTGAAACAAAAGTGTAGTCTACTTATTAAAGCAACATAGTTTGTAGAAGCAAGCAATGAAAGTAACAGAAGAGCTTCGCATGGGGTAGTATAAGGTAAGGCTCTTACCTTTCAGCACCCCAAAAATATGGTGGTATGGGGAATACATGTACACTCATCCCTACCTTCTACAATGCAGTGATAAACAGACCCTGTAGTGCAAGAAGCTGTTCCATGGGTTACCTTCAACAGCATAGCAACTACTGCTTGCACTTAAGGGCACTCAATAAAAGAAGAAACAACAGCCTGCAGCTAAACTTTAGTGAAAAGCGCCCAAAAATATTTTACAGTACAAACAAATGACTCACAGCAATGCAGAATAATCTGCCCCTCTGTCTGTGCTTTTACCTTCCTTTTGCAAATCCAAAATACATATGGGGGTCCCAAGAAGCTCTGCTACCTAAACCCGCGGATGATTTTAAGTAAAGCTTAAATTCAGCAGAATATCTCTTTGAAAGCTACGAAACGAATCTCCGAATTAAGCCAATTAAACCCGGCCCAATAAAATACAATAAATCAGTGTAAAGTTCAGTAGTGACACTGAGACCATCATGTAAAGAGGGAACAAGAACACAATTCTGGTGCCAAACTGAGCCAAAAAAGCTTTGCGGCCGCAATGGACAGCTGAATTAGGAATATGAAACATAGATTAAATTTTGCTGATGATAACTAAAAATTGGAAAAAAACATTTTAATTCCAGAAGTTTAGTAGACACCAAAACACTAAAATGCATGTGAGAACACATAACAGGACATCATATTTCCACTTCAGGCTGAACACAAACATGCCTTAAAGGAAATACAGTATATAGAGGGGAAGACGATATGTGAACCAGTTGCTTATAGTAACCAAACAGTTTTTATATAAGGGCCTCAGTCATGAAGGGGTTAAAAGAGAACTATGGGGTAACCTTTTTATCCAATAGTTCTCTTCAGGATCACAGGAGGACATATACTAACGTCCTCCCGTGACGCAAAGCTCAGTATATAGCGACCTATTGCCTGTTATATACTGAGGGCGCTGCAGCCGGGATGGATCTCGACAATACTGTCAAGATCCACCCAGCTGGCTGATTGACAGCGGGCTCTGCCTATCTTGAGGCAGAGCCAGCTGTGCTCGCCGCCTCCCCCTTCCGGTCCTCCAGTCAGCGCTAGAGGATAGGAGAGGGGGGAATCTCTGCGGACAGTCACCGCTCTCTGCAAGAAGATGAACAGAAAGTGAGCGAGCAGCGGTATGTGTTCACTCACTTCCCAATCAAAAGAGGCCAACCTGTGACAGTTTCATTGTCACAGGTCGGCTCTAACTATGAGGATTAGTGTAAATCACTCACCGGATAGTTCTCCTTTAACTGAACAAACTGAAGAGAGGAGCTGATTGGTTACTATGGGCAACTGCTCCAGATTCTGTCTACTCCAGTTTTGACAAAAAATCACCCTACAGCCGTTCATTTTATTTTTCCAGATATACAAGTAAATGAGATGTTTTAAATATTGTGTCTCTGGGAATAACAACATATTGCAAGCCAAAGCAGCCGTTTTTATTACAAGCTCTGCTTTCTGCTTTGTAGTGCTATTCAATGGTGGTACTGCATATTCTCACAATACAAGTCTATGGGGTTGATTTACTAAAGGCAAATAGGCTGTTCATGTTGCAAATGGAATGTGCACATTGCAGGGGAAGATTCCCTTTAGCTAGGTTAATGTAGTGAAATTCTACTTTGAGAAAAAACACCCAGTCATGCAAGGAAAAAACTGTATTTTTGCTTGCATGTGATTTGGTGATGGAAGTCAGGAGAGCTTCACCAAATTCACTATACTAATCGGAAATTCCCC